AGTAATAGACCTTATATGGCATATCATAGAAAGCCTTGTCGGCTGACTTGAAGGAGGTGGTAAGATTGGCGCTTGGGGACTGTGTTTGAGGCAATCCGGATATCCATTTTTGCAAGGTCGATTCGTTGTTACTAGCACTCTCCTTTTCACAAACCATCCGGACGCGGAGGTTTGACGAAGAGATAGCGAAGGATTGAATCAGGCGGAGCTTCTCGATCAGCTCCTGGAGACGCTCCGGAGAGGACTCTGCGTCCCGAAGCAGGTTAGCCGTAGCTTGCAGCTGTTCAAGCCCAGACTGCTGCTCTTGGACCCAGAAGCTCCGGGAAAGACTGGCAGCCGCAGCATTCACAGCGAATCGGTGACCAGTTCCCGCAATGGCATCCAAAGCCCCATTGGTGGTCATCCGGAGAAGTTCTTGGATCATTGCAGGTGCAGCAGGGCTCGTAAAGTCCGTCTCCGTAACTAGTACCGAGAGCATTTCCAGCATCTCGGGGATGTTCTTATCAAGAGCAAATCCAGAGAATTGCATGCCTTCCTTGAATTGATTCAAGTGCGTCGGGGACGACACAAGGAACGACGAGGTCGAGATCCCTCCAGTCTTCAATTTAATCAAATCTTCCCACTGTTCCATCGACCGGTTGGCAGTTCCCAAACGCATGACACAGTCGTTGAACAAGGGCATGAGCAACCGAAGTTCATCGGGTAGGTCAACGAAGTCATTGAGGGCCTGGAAATAGGTCAATCCATTGGTGGGAGCTTCACGCCAGACGACGTCGGCGCCCTCGACTTTAGACTCTCGGACAGGCTTGCGCTCCTTCTCTCGCGAGATGTCTTTGACTCTCAACGTCGGGAGGCAGCTCAGGTCAGCATTATGGGCGTCCTCTTGGATCTTGAGGAGTTGTAATTCCTCCTCTCCGAGTTTGGTGACAGCCTTCTCAACTGAGCCATGCTCTTCGATAAGCTGAGCAAGTTTCTTGTCTTTCCGTACCACCTCTTTCTCGTCCAATTCTTTGTTGAAAGTGGGAGTACCGACCATGGTAAAGGTCATACATTGGTCGTTGATGAGATATTTCTCCACTAAAGATTCGAGATAACCGGGCTTCGCATATCTCCTCTTGAACTCGTCGATGACATCATTCCAAGCCAGCTCTTTCATGGGGTCTGAGCCGTTGAGCCAAGTCGATATGGTCTTCTCCATTACACCAATTCCGAAGTTTGCAGTCTTGTGGCGCAGCGAGAGCTCCAGCTGGTGAAGGAATCCACGAACCTTCTCCTCGCTAAACCCAGCAGAAGCGGATTCCCGGAAGACGTTTTGAATCACGTTTTTGATATTTGGAGCTTCCGCTTCAGTCACACCGTTAAGTCCAACCGAGAAGATGGGAGTTCGGCTAGATGAGTCAAGACCCGTGTTTGGTGTGAAAGAAGAGCCAAGACCACTCTCAACAAGAGCTCGGTACATTGGTGAACCGTAGCCATCGAGCAGAAGCGAGGAAACAATTCCTACTGAGAAAGTTTCCACAATATCGGTTGTATCACCCATGTACCAGGAGGTAGATGTCTTGTGCTGTTTGTCTTCGCTGGCAAATGTATCGATGGGGCCAGGAACAGTCACGTTAAGAGGACCCTTGGTGAGGTCCCGAGGTAGCTTGATATCAGTATCCGCTTGTCCTTTCTGGAAGCCATCTAGGACTGCACCGATCTGCTGCAGGTGATCAACCAGAGGCATATCACCATAAGTAAGGATCTTAGAGTTGCTTGGGTGGTAGTTGCGTTTCGAAAACTCCGAGAGCTGCTTATGAGTGAGATCGGTGATGTACTCGGGGTCTCCACCCGAGTTGTTCAGCGAGGGGAAGATGCTCTCTTTGAAACGAATATAGTAGAGATAGTTTGCATCAGAAATCTGACCCTTCATCTCGTTGTAAACAACACCCTTGAACACGATATCCTCCAATGACAACTGTTTCTTAGGCTGTCCGGGAACTGACTCTCCAGCACGCGGATCCTCGGGACCCAGGCGCCATCCTTCTTGTCGGAAATCCGATTCCTTAAGAAGGGGGTGTAAAGTAGCATCGAGATAAACAGAAAGAAGATTTTGGAAATCTTGTTGGTTAGTCGTGGCAAATGGATATGTAGTATGGTCGGAAGCTGTGAAAGCATTCATGAAATTTGAGAGGGAGCGTGGAAGCATCTTAAAGAACGGGTCACGGATTGGAAATCTTAAGAAACCACGAGGTCAGCAAGGATGTAGAGATTTCCGATATCGTATTGCTCACTTTTCGCTTCCACATAGTGTAGTATGCTCCAAAATATGAGGCACACCAGTAGCATCTGGCGGGTTTGTCTTGAAGCCGATTCCAAACACATTGTTCTTATCATCTCTGGCGACATGCATGTAGTCCGCATTGGTCTTGTCATGCTTCAGCCATACTGCAGTCAGGTGAAGCTCAGGAACATGCTTCTTCTCCTGTAGAGTGAATCCGTGTAGCTTCTCACCAACCTTGGGGAAGTTATCCAAGTTGGTCACCGTCGATGCAGCTCTCAGAGTATTGCGCGGAAGGATAGTTTGCGTCGACTTTAATGAGCGTGTTGTAAGCGGGTGAGCATTCGGAACTCGCGCCGTACGAAGGCGCATCGATGAGCGCAACATAATTAAGTAGGTTGACGATAGTAGAGAATAAGCAACCCCGGAGTTGAAAATGTCCAGCCCGGCCACCCGACCGCCCAGGCTTACATCATCTATGCTAGCGTAAGCCTCACTGGCCGCCCGCTTGTCGAAGTTCTGCTCCGAAGACCAACATTTGCTCTTTACCGAACGCTACGACGAACGAACGATTCCTACATCCCAGAGCCAGTGATCTCACTCATGAGCCTTGCCTCTGGGATCTCTGCTCCGTGTGATTGATCCGTCTACATCCTGCCCTGTATCCCGCCTATCTGGCGCAAATTTTCGGCTTCCGGCCTTCGTACCAACCCTCCGTGCATCGGATCGCCAAATACGTTGTTTCTGTAATACCCCACGCAAACACTTCAAGATGTCGTCCACTTCCATGGCGAAGAAGAACAAGGGGAAGAAAGCGGCCGACCCAAACGAGACGTCCAAGCTTTTGGCAGCCAAGATCTCTCAACTGGAGCAAGATGCCGCCGGCGAGAAAGACCAAGAGGCGGAAATTGGTGCGTGACTCCCTTTGTATTCTGCGGCGGCATTTTTTCTCTTTGCTTGGTGCCGCTGGGCCACGGCGTTAGTCCGGAATATAGGGTCACTAACTTGGGATTTTGATATACAGAGCGCGAGGTCAAGAAGGCAACTCGTGACCTCAACCAGCTTTTGAGCAATATCGAGTCTCCTATGACGAAACTTGAAACCGTTCATAAGAAATATACCGAGCTATTGGCGGATATGAAAAAGTTGGATCGTGATTATTCTAAGAGCAAGAAGCGCGCAGATCAGTTGCAAAAAGACCAAGACAAGGGCAAGTCTGATCTTAACAAGACTATCACAATGAAGGACAAGCTGGAGAAGCTGTGTCGAGAGCTTACGAAAGAGAACAAAAAGGTCAAGGTAGGTTCATTAACACGCGCCTTGAGGCGATTGCGACAAACACCGCGCAGGGCTTGCCAGCTAAATATTTGGTAGGATGAAAATAAGAAGCTGGAGGACACAGAGAAGAAAGCGCGATTGATTGTCAACGAACGTCTCGACTCGCTTCTCTATGACATCCAAGACGTCATGGCTGCCAAAGGGAACCCTCGTAGCGAGAAGGTGGATGTTGATCTGGACGAAGCGTATGATGTCAATCTCCTTCTATTCTACGGGCTTTGGGTTTGCTAACCTGAGTGGTTTAGACTCCGTGCCAAGCTTAAGACCATCAGCGAGCAGTTCGACACGCGCGACCTACATTACAGGGGCCTCCTACGTGGCAAAGACTCCGAGATTCAAAGTCTCGCCTCCAAGTTCGAAGAGCAGCGCCGTGCTGGTGAGGTTGAAGCGAACCGAAGCCGAGCTTTGACCTCCCAGGTTTCCACTTTCTCGCATACCGAAGCCGAATTGCGTAGCCAACTCAACATCTACGTGGAGAAGTTCAAACAGGTACAGAAGGGTTCCCATAACCCCTCTCATTCCCCGGTCGCTGACGAAGACCTTCAGGTCGAGGACACTTTGAACAACAGCAACGATCTTTTCCTTACCTTCCGCAAGGAGATGGAAGAAATGTCCAAGAAAACCAAGCGCCTGGAGAAGGAGAATCATACCCTCAACCGGAAGCACGAGCAAACTAACCGCAATATCCTGGAAATGGCAGAGGAACGGACTCGGAACCATGAAGAACTTGAAAGATGGCGACGGAAGTGCCACCACCTTGAAGCCCTCTGCCGGCGTATGCAAGCCCAGGGCCGAGGTGAAGGACTTGCTCTGGCGGAAGGCGATGATCATTTAGAGGGTGACGATGAAGGCACTGAAAGCGAGTACGATGATGATTATGAAGATGATGAGGAGGATATCAGTGATGACGAAGATCTTGAGCCACCTCCAACCCGGGTCGACCAACCTTCAGAGAAGCCTGTCTTCGGTCCAACTCCGCCCCCGAATCTTTTGGAGGCTCGAGCAAATGGCAATGCTGCGGGAGTCAATGGCTTGGTTTTCTAAGATTATTCCAATTTATTTGATGTGGATTTTGATTGAAACAACTTGGTTACCCTCGTTAATGACGTTTTTCTTCGACTTTCTGCTTTTCTCCCTAGGCAAATGCCATACTTTGTGGCTTACATAGATGCTAATATTCGGGTTCAATTTGAAAGTAGAAGTTCTGGTGCCATACATTTTTGTTTGTCTCACGATATTCCTCTTTGGTTGATGCAAGTCTTATTGGTCTCAGGTGTTTTTGTACAAGTACATGGCATGGCATGCTCAGAAAAAGAAAGAAAAAAAACTTGCCAGGCTTTATCGCACTAGTGTCAGGACCAGGTGATGAACCGCATCTCGTCCAGCTTCACGTCTATAACATCTATAGTTTACTTGCCGGTCCTGTTGGGGTGATATATGAGCCTCCAACTTTGAGCACCTCGACAGCCTGCTGAACCATTTCCTTCACAATGATCTCAGCTGGTTTAATCTCTTTAACATTGGCTGAGACATCACCCATGAGGAACGGCACATCGACATCCTTCTCGTTCTCCAAATCGTGCATCATGGGCACAACACCCTTAGCAGTCAGTGCGGCGATATCAGCAGGCCGTGCTTCCCACTCCTTAATATAATCATTGGGCAGCATGCGCAACGGTCGACCAGAGATAACAAGCGTGCGCTTGGTCTCACCAAACTGTGCCCCAACAACCGCCTCCTTGTGCAAGCGACTAGCACTGCTCTCATCCGAGGCCACAAACCGGGTGCCTACCCAAACACCTGCAGCACCATACATCAATGACGCTGCCAGACTGCGGCCATCGTTGATACCGCCGGCTGCAACGACAAGTGCCGGTTGGCCAGTCAGTGGACTCTTATAGTTCCGCGCAACATCCACAATAGCAGGTACAAGAACAGAGAACGGCACTTCGCCGGTATGCCCACCGCCCTCGCCACCCTGCGCGCAGACAATATCGACTCCCGCTTTGAACGCCTTCTCGGCGTGCTTTGGCGCGCCGACCATATTCATGATTAAGATACCGGCCTCGTGGAGTCGCTTGATGGTCTTCGCTGGCGGAATGCCGACGGCGGAGACGAAGAGCTTGGCGCCGTGTGAGATAGTCACCTCGATCAATTCGTCCAGCTGCCCGTGTGTGTAGTCATGATTTGTTGCACGTGCTGAGCCTCCGACTTGTGGAAGAGCGAGATCCACGCCGAAGGGGAGCGAAGGGTCCCGCAAGAGTGACTTGAGCTCTGTGAGCATTTCTGATAGCTGTGCTGGTGTATATCCTAATCCGCCGACTGTACCTAGGCCGCCAGCATTAGACACTGCTGCTGCTAGTGGAGCTCCAGATGCGCGGGCCATGCCAGCTAACAGGACTGGGTGTTGGATCTTGAGGAGAGAGCATAATGGTGTTTGGAGAGACATGTTGGATTATGGAGATGGTAGATTGTAAGTAGAATTGAAAAGATTGCCATGTCTCTGAATACTGTGCCTATGGTTATATAGACCATGAGAATCAATGTGCGATATAAAATGCGGGGAAGCTATAAGCCATGGACCGAGGCAGCTGATAGCCGATCTACATGCAGGTCCGACTACTCTGCTACTCCGTACATACATGTATGCATTCTATGTATGTCTTATGAATACATCTCGAGTATATAGCCATTTTCGGCACCGAGCTCACTGGAGTCGGCTTAATGGGAATCGTAGAACTTGATTACTTGAATTATTGTCTTTCTACTTTCATTTAAGATTCAAGCACTGACTATATAAGACGAAAAGAATATTAAAAAAAACCCCGTAATCAAGTATGAGATGATAGTAAATTTCAGTTCAATCATTTCCAGATTAAAATCATTTTGACCAGTTGCCATGAAATCCCAAAACGGGAATGTAATTGAACGCGCTAACTGACGCGTGGGCGCGTCAAACACACACCTTTGCATCACCACCCCAACCATTCCCCGAAACATAAGATCTCAGCATTATTCCGGACAATATGGCACCGGATGCTGAAGATTACACTTTCTTGTGTCCTCCCAGGTAATACCTCTTGATTCACTCTGTTTCCATTCAGGCTGCTACGGACTGGGGGCTTTCGCTGACCATTGCTCTTTTCATCGATAGCAAGGAGGATCAGGAACAGGAACCAGTTTACCGCGCACCCTCTCATTACAACCCTCATCACACTTTCCATCTACCAGCCGGCGCAGGACGACACTATCAGCAGCAATATGGCGACCTATACTTTTTGCGACTCGCAAAGTTGAAGCCCACCGTCGAAAAAGTTGCGAAAGATGCGTGGGATGGACTTATTGTAAGATGAATTCGTCCTTGGGGTATCTTCCACCCTCAGCTACAGATTTCTGACACCTACTTGCAAATTTAGATTGCTGGAGAGAAGGTGCGACGTGTTGATCGAGTACTCGATGTCCGACAAGGCGAGCTGTGCTGGGTCGCCGGTACCGTATACATGGATTTGCCCATGAAGCCGAATATTTTGGACGACCTCAGCAAAGAGGTCAGTTAATTGGCCTTGCTCCTGCTTCTTCTGCCACTGACAATCCACAGAACTTCACCTCTGCTCCACCTCCCCGCCGCACCTACACTGATCCTTCCAACCCATCTTTGACTCAAATTATGATGGAAGATGAGTCCGGCCGCTTACGGCTCACTGGGAACTTCTTGCAGTCTACACAACTGGCGACTGGTGCCATTATTGCAGCTTTGGGAACCGAAAATGCGAATGGAGATTTCGAGGTTATTGATATCAAACTCCCGGATCTGGCTCCCCAGCCTCAACGATGGGAGGGCAAGTCTCCAGAAAATGGAGTTGCAGTTTCTGGAAAGGAACATGGCAAAATAGCCTTCGTCAGTGGCCTGGGAATCACAGGAACATCGAGTGACACGCTTGCTTTGGAGCTATTGACAGATTATCTTCTGGGCTACACAGGATTCTCGGGAGATGAAGACAACAGCCCATCCTTAAGTTCCTCTAAAATCACCCGTTTGGTCATCGCAGGTAACTCACTTGGAGCCAGCGTAGTTGGCGATGTGGCATCAACAAACTCTGGCACTGATGAGGCAACAAAAGCACACCCGAAAAAGTATGGTTATGACGCCTCTGCATACAATCCCGCGCCTATCACAGAGCTCGATAACTTCTTGGCGGAGATCTTGCCCAGCATCCCTGTCACGCTCATGCCGGGCGAAAAGGATCCCGCGAACTTTTCTCTCCCCCAGCAGGGGATCCATCGTACTATGTTCCCTCAAGCAAGGGTATATTCCGCACCTCCGCCCAGAGGAGATGACAAGCCCGAGGCGGGCTGGTTTGACAGCGTCACGAACCCCTGGGACGGGGACGTAGAAGGCTGGCGACTGTGGGGATGCAGTGGTCAGAATGTTGACGATGTTCTGCGGTATATCAGTATTGAGGGCGGCGATAGCAGCCCAGATCAGGAGTCCGATTCCGATGCTCGGATGCGAATCATGGAAGCCATGCTCCGTTGGCGCTGTGGTGTTCCCACTGCGCCAGACACAATTTGTATGTTTGGACACCCGAATCCTCGAAGAATGACTGCTGACAATACTCTCCAGGGTCATATCCTTTCCAGTCCGATGATCCATATGTCATTGAGTCCTGTCCGCATATCTTTTTCGCTGGTAACCAACCTCAGTTCAAAACTGCCACGATTCAGGGTGACGTTTCTCTCCGCCTAGACGGGGACACTGAGATGATTGGTGCTGCTGATGGCTCTGATGCACCCCGTGTTCGGCTGCTGGCACTTCCCAAATTCAACGAAACCGGGGAGTTGATTTTGGTCGATACCGAGACGCTAGAGGTTGAGGTGGTCCGGTTTGGAGTTTTCAAGGGTCAGGAAGAACAAAAATGAATTGATAGAGCTATCAACCCATCAATGGTACTAATGAAATAACCATCTTGTCAAACCTCCTGTATATTGATATATCTATAAAACCGCATGGCCGCTCAGACAAATCGTATACAACCCGAGTGGCTCCACGCGCCAAGACCCACAATTGGAAGAATCCATCCCACTCACTTCTTCTGCTTTATATCCATCAAGGCACTAATAGACGTCGAATGAGCATTTCTCCAAACCCATATATCCCAGCTCAACAATTCTGAACCGGTCACACTGAAAGGGATAACTTTCTGATCATCTATCCATAATGCTACTCAATGCCAACATAGGTACGCTACTCTATGCCCATACCCACATATATACTTTCCCCCAGACATCGAGACTATAAGAAAAAATACAGAATAAGCTGATTTCATTTTCCGAGAGATAGCCCTTTGCTCCTCAAAGGCCCTTTTGGTCCCGTATTCATCATGGCATGTACCCCGATACCATGAATGGATGAAAGACCCGGTAAGCAAACAGAATCAATTAGATCATAGTTATTATTGACCACATTTCTTACAAACTCCAGGAAATTCAAGAAGCAACAGCCTCAGAACCCTTAACTCTAGAAGAAGAATACTCGATGCAACGCAGTTGGCGCCAAGACGCAGACAAACTAACCTTCATCGTCTGTCGGGCGATCACAACAGGCTCCGAAGATGAAGTTCCCAGCCAGACAGAGCTGCAAGCAGAAAGTGACTCGCCGGCTACTATGGTTGGTGACATCAACCTTTTTCTGCGCATTGACGATGGCGAGGAGGGCGACAGCCCGCCGCAGATAGTTGGCGAGATCGAGCTCATGATCGCTGAGAAGGTCAATCAGCGACGCGGGTTTGGACGTGCTGCGCTACTTATGTTTATGCGGTATATCATACAGAACCAGGGGGCTATTCTGGATGAGTTTGTTGGTGGTGGTGACGTTGATGTTGAGACTGTACGGAAGTTGCGGACTGGTGTAGAGACGGCGGCGTCGTCGGAGGGGTTGACGCTTGAGTGTCTCAGTGTTAAAATTGGACAGACAAATTTGAGGAGCTTGGCTTTGTTTGAGGGGATTGGCTTTGAGAGGGTTTCTGCTGAGCCGAATTTCTTTGGGGAGTTCGAGTTGCGCAAGACGGATTTGAGTCTAGGTGGTGTTGATGCGGCGCTTGAGGGGGCGAAAGTGCGAGGGTTTATTACTTTGCCTTATGAGAGAACAGAATAGTGTTGATTTCTCGGTAGTTTATGAGATTTCTGGTTATTTCGGATCGTAGTTGTCAAATGAACAGACATAGCATTGCACAAAACTCGAACAACAAATGAAGCATCCAAAGTCACGTCTCTTCAAAGTACCCTCTACCCGAAATTTTACTTGTAACATTGAATCAGGCATACAAAGCCGGTCCCGGGATAGGATACTCAGTCAGGGTAGAGTAAATATCAAACAAGATCCCGGGATCAGTGTTGGTATACAACTCCACACCAAGTGTGCCATCAGGTACATCGCTTCCACCACCAGTAACCTCCAAATTGAAGCACTGTGGATAGTTCTGGGCACCATTCTTATTGCCAGCAGAGTGCAGACCAATAATCTCATGGCGCATGACATAGTTACCGGCAGCGATAGTAGCAGGAATCCTCACAGTCCATTTGCTTCCAGCAGCAATGAGATCATCGCTGGCCCATGTCCCCGGAGAAGTTGAGCCATCAATAAGACCGTCTTCCTCGATTTTGAAGAATTCCAGCGTGGCCTTGTCGACTGTGCTGCAGTCCCCGTTACACGAGGCGAGGTATGTGATCAGAGGACCGTGGTGCGACTCTGGCCAGGTCGTCCATTGGATGTCAATGTCAGAGCCAGCAGTGACAGTGGCACTCAAAGCTGCGTTGACTCCATCTCGGTGGCAGATTATGTTCGGATCTTGGTATTCGGTGCCGTCTTCGAACCCGAGGTCGGTTGCCGTTGTTGCCCACCCGACGCTGTCGGGAACATCATCCATGTACGCGTATTTGTCAACGAGGTAGCCAGTGTAGCTTATAATGGTTAGTTTGTTGTTGGTATGAAAAATTTTGGGCCTGGATTGTCTTACTTTTTGCCATCGGCTACGATGCTAGAGACGTAGGCATGCCCTGCAACAAGAGAGGCCGAGGCTAGAAGCGTAGATAGCTTTGAAAGTGTCATTTTTCTTTGCCTTTCTGATAAAGAATGCAATAGATGTTCCTGTCTTGCGAAATATATTTTTGACCGCAGCAGCTACCGTTTATATACATTCAACATCAGTCCTCGCAGAGCTCGTCTTAGTCTGGTCCTCCATGAGACCTTTCATTTAGCCGATAGTTCTGTTTCTGAAGGAGGTCCGTTCTGATCCTGGAATAGTGTCAAGCACAATTGCGTCAATCGGCATGAGTGAAGCATAGAAATGTAACATCGAATGTAAAATCAGAGGTCTACTGCAGGAACTTGTTGGTGGAAAATTACATATCAATGCCGGAATTTAGCCTTTTTATGGCCCCATTGGTCTGAATAAAAAGGCCTCCGTGTTTGAGAAGCAAAAAGATATATTATCAGGGGTCATGGGATGAGCCATTCTATACTAACATAGAGAACTAGTCAAGCCAGCCGCTTGGAAATGGACTTCACATGTATACATTTTGCGGGGTGCAGAAGCCAGGGGCACAAGTGCCAGCCCTCATGGCTAATTTCTGCAGCCAACAACGGCAATTAACGGTGATGATCCGGGGTAGCGGGCCGACAGAAATATAGAACCAGCTACAAGTTCCTTTGCAACACTTACTCTACCGTATGATATGCTTGATGCCAAGACAAGCTGCGACGTGCCAAGCAATGCGGACGGTAAGATGTATAAGAATCAAGTGCCGTGGCCTGAAGAGTAATGATCTACGGAAATGCCTAGGTACTAAGTTGATTGTGATGAACTTGGTCGACGTATTTGGTAATTTATAACTACTATACTCGAGGCGAGGAAACTTCTTAATTTCGATTGATGGTAAAGCGATGGATATATCATATTATTATATTGAGACCTAAAAATGGAAAGATAGAGTGCTATAAGATCAAGACAAAGGAATATTTTGCGAATGTCAAAAATATTGCCCTAAGCGTAAGCATGAATTAACTCTGAAATTCTGGAAAGTACAATCCCATGGAACGAGAAGCTTAGTATACCTCGGTGCGCTTACTAGAGCAGCGAGGATTATAACGAAGTGTCGGATGCATATCGACTGGACCGGCCTCTTACATGTTCTTCTGAAGATACCGAGAAGCAACACTTCGGAAGCTGCTCACTCCTTACTCCCAAGGCTACTTATAAGAGTCCTAGGTCTGGAATGGCGGCCACCGGAAGACATTCCGAAAGCATTTTAGCTAAAAGTGTGCCGGTAGTCGAAAAAGTCTACCGGTAATCCTGGGAGACGCGAGAAACGATCAAGTAGCTTACCAGCTTTCGCGTACTCTGCCAGAGTATGGAATGGCCAAGCACCCTCGTTGCAACATTTGAGATCAGCTTCAGGCACCATCTCTGTGAACCAGTCGAAGCAATCAGTGCAGTCGTCGAGAATGATACCGGTGATGAGATCGGGACCTAGGCTGGGGGGGCCTCCAATAGGCATGACGTGGCTGAGGTCTACGCCTTGAAGGGCCAGAGCCGCTTTCGCAACATCGACATTCGGGTACCATTGGACGGTATTCACGCGCTGCTTGAGGCTGTTTGGTGAATTACTACCCATCCATCCGACTTTGATAAATTCTTCTAGTGTTTTGTTAGTCTTCATCAGCTGGTTGATAGAATGAAAGTTCTCGTGTGTCAATCTGGGCGAGCTTTCCAAGAGCGCATCTAGGATCTTGAAGATAATCTCTGGTGGGAAAACGCTAAGGTTGCCCATAGGAGGGACCACTGGCTTTTGGTGGCACATGTTTCCGTTTCAGCCGTCGCGGGTTTGTCTAACTGGAGCTGTGTCGAGTACCGAGGGCGATTCCAAGAACAATAATATGTATTTCTTGACCTAGATGAGGGAACAATGCAATGCTCATGTGATCAATATTGTTGATGGCGTTAGTTTTGGCGCTCCAAGTTCATTTATATAAATTCGAGAGGACATGCTGTGGAAATACTTGCTTTGACCTATATGAACTTGAAAGAACCACAAAGGTCCTTCAATAAGTCTCCGAAAGATGATCATCCTCAACAATGGTATTATGCGAGCAAAATAATGAAGTAGACTTGAACAAAGACTCGGGGCGACTCAGTCGCAAACCTCGATGTCGAAGAACCCAATGCCGGGTAGAATTAGCCATTGTCCTTGCTTCCAGCCGATGTACAGAAAGCGATGTAGTCGGTGTGACTTGAGATTGTTTGACCAGAGACCACGACAGGCTTCTGTCTCGATTTAAGTTGAGCCGAGAGAAATGCCGGAGACGATTGTGAGGCTTGCTAATAGGGCGATTAGAGAATCGTTAATCTACGCAAGTCAGCATTTACTCGGTCTACTTGTTGCCTTGAAAGACAATATCAAAGTTGGAAGAACATCCATGATCAATGATAATGGATTAGGGAATCTCGATTGAGAACGAGAAACCTATGTAGTAATGATATTTCAACTGTTTTTTTCATTTGGTTGTAGGGACTGGAGACTTCGACAAAAGTCTTCCACGAGTGCGTCCAGAAAATGCGAGTCGCCTGACCGGTGAATATTAGCAGCCGGTTTCAAAGGCGCAAAGAAACTCTCCCGCCGTGAATTTCATGTTCCACGCCACGGAGTTTTCCCCGTGTCGGCTCGCAGAGGGACCAAGCCCATGTCATGTATCCCTCCAACAGTTGGTCTTGCATGCATCAACAACCAATCACGCCGCACTCCGATCCTCCATTCAGTCCATTGTTACCGAATTTAGTTGGTCTTCTTGGTGCCCTTGGAGACATCGACGACCTTGAGGGCTGTTCAGAAAAGCATTGTCAGCATAGGTTCCCCGCTGTATTCAAAGTCCATCCAAGTTGTGTATCCTCCGATCTTTCCAACTCATGCGGCGGAACAATGCGGTCGTAACGTACCAGGGGGCAGGCTCTGCTTGAGCTTGTCGGCCTTGTCGGAGTCCTTCAGGACAAGAGTGTAAAGGTTGCGGTGGCAGCGGACCTTGAACTTGGTCTGCTGGGTCTTGCCGTTCTTCTTGATGCGGGCGGCTAAAGGCGTAAACAGTCAGCATCGATGATCATCTCCAAGTCTCATGGCGGAAGTCCATCAATGCAGCGCAACGTACAGGAGGCATCCTTCCGGCGGCAGATCTCAATGAACTGCTTGATATCGGAGACTTCGGCAGGCATAATGACGGTTGCGGGTGTTTTGAAGCAAGGTGCAAGAGAGAAAGCTCACTGTCGACACTGGCCTCTAAGGTGAATGTGTGCGGATCACGTTAGGGCTTAAAGCTGCAAAAGCCCTTGCTTAGTCATGTACAATCTACAGTTGGGGTGGTGCCTCAGGCGGGGAAGTTGCGGTGGCTGGTTGAGGCGTTGTGGCTCGTGCAACTGGGGTCAGAAATGTGGCTGGGAGATTTGGAGGCAGCCCATGCGAATGCGGGAAATGATGGACGGTCCCTGTATCTGCTTCCTCGGGTATGCGATATGAGGCAAAATGGGAGTCTACCATTGCTCTCGATGGTTGACTTCGCTGCTCAGCATATCCTGGCCACCTCGAATTTCTGCTTCCCAATCGTGAATGGCGATGCAGTCTCTGCGGCGGCTGGAGGGGTGTGCTTCCCTCGGGATCGAATCTCTCCAAATCCACACTTTCTGGAGGGGCCATGCCTTTTGATGTGACATGCAGCTGGACTCGATATCGTCTATAAAAGGCTATGCTGTAACGAGGGTCAATATCCGACTTGATACATACTGTAATCAGTGTAATGAAGATCAACCATACCCCTGTTTGATGGCAGCTCCCACCGCAATAACAAACGTAACCGATGACAGGAAGATGACTGCATCCATATCTTCCGTCAAAATAGGCTACTCAGGGTGATTCGAAATGACCGAGGGCAATAAAGATAGGCTAGTGGTTATAAATATGCGATGCACTGGCTGCTAGAACAGTGCGAGCGAGAAAGTCACAGGCAGCCTTGCATTTTCCATTTTCCAACAGTATCTAATTATGACTCGATGCTTACATACATAATAACTTGAAGGAAAGTGCCATCAACCGGCATTAAAGAGTGATTGAAGGATGTAGTTATGTAGTTGAAGTAGTCGCAACTGTATAGTTCGAAAGGCAGCCATGGGTGGCGTCGCGTGGCAGTGCAACCCGCGTCCTCTGACGAACTGTTCACATCTATTCGCCTTGAGTACTTATCTTTTGCACGTGTCCTTTGAGGGTTTTATTTTCTTCCCTTTACCATTTTCAATCCTAAGGGCATTTCTACTTTAACGAAGAAATCCAAGAATTATTGTATCATCAAAATGCCGACCCCTCTAGACCGAGCATTGAATTCCAAGGTACTGCCAACATTTCTATGCTTTGGGAAAAATATCTAATCATGAACTCAATAGAATCTATTCCTTGGTAGATGATCCAAGTTTAACACATTCACCAACATTTCTGACCACAATCTTCCTATATAGGTTTTGCAGGAATGGTCACTGCGGTGGCAGCCTATTCCATCTTGGGCAGCGATGTCCTCCCCGCGCAAGCAGATCCAACTGGTGGTAAGAGTAGATATATCTAGGTTCGCAACGCAGGCTAATGAAAGCCAGACCCTGAAAATTGGACAATGGATGAGATAAAGAGATGGCTTCAAGCGGTATGTTTGAATGGTCTATTTGGATATACCTCAGTCCAGATAATTATACATTTTCCTGAGGATGGTACACTGACCAAGTAATCCAGAGAGGTCTTTTGCCCAATGAGCGTGCGACGCGTGAGGAGCTGCTTGAGAGAGTCAAAGCAAATCTCCGTATACCGCGCAAGACATCGGCTGGGCCATAATCCCCATAATAATGAAGACATCAACATTTTCCTTCTCTTACTGGCGCCTGGCGCTCTAGTTTTGAAGCGATCTTAAACAGTGGACAATTGTTTATATCGTATCTCCCAGCAGTTCATCCTTGGTGGGCGGGCATGACTTAGGTGTCTTTCACTTCCATCCTCATGGCATAGCCTATTGACTTGTGTGACTGTTTCATAATTCGTTGGATCAGAAGCTGCATGGCGGCTCAAACGACAAGGCGGAAGTTCTGGCTTTCGATAAGAAAATCCTTGCGGCCCCTCGCCCTCTCTGCAGACGGATTGGGGACCAGGACAAAGGTCTCGCTGAACCCGCGTTGCGGTTGATCGCGACCCTCGCCATAGCGCACGAACCCACTGACAACAATGAGAAGCGACATATCCTTTACTCCCATCTCTGACTGTGGCTTCAGTCCGCCACCTGGCAAAACGGTAGGGTATGCTTTGTTGATGATCTGGCAGTCGTACGATTGGACTTCGTAGTATGTTGGTGACATTTGATTGGTAAAAATTTCTTGCACCGCGGCACCGTCGGTGACACGATTTCCATTGAACAGGATTGTTGTGGGCTCGAGGGAGTAGTAGGAGCTGAGCGATTCGCGGTTCAATCCCAAAGCTGGATAGAAGGTCTTGACAAATTCGGTCGCAGCTGAGTATGGAAACAAATCAAAGGTCAGTTGTTTCCAATAAATGATGACATGGCTTGATTTTGAAACTTACCCTCTGTCGACACTTTGGTTAGTGTATCCTCGCTTGCTGCAGCCATCGCGGTCGGTATCTCAAGTTGGCAAAAAGGGAGGGCAGTTGTGAGTGATCTAACAAGAAAGAAATATTTTAAATGAGGTGGTATATATATATGTATAATATATAGATATAGATTTTGAGGTCGTCGATGTACTTGATGACGATGTATTCACGGCGAGTTAAGCGCAAAAAATTGGCCGAGACTTGCGGAGAAGCTTGGACCACCCGAGATGTGCGGAATGGAATAACATGCGACGCTCTTTTTACCATATCACCATCCCAATGGCTACAGCAAGGACGCCACTTCGCTCTTTATTTAGAGCGTCTCACCTTCTAAGATCGAGGCACCCGTGGATCTGTGCATCCCGAAAGCATGGATGGGCAACAACTTCCCGGCGCGGAGTCACAACTACGCCGCAAAGGCCCAACAAGCCTTACTATGTGACAACACCAATTTTCTACGTCAACGCTGGTAAGAGCTATGGAGAAGACCATATTAAAGCTGGCTTACTAACAACGCGTTCGAATTTTAGCCCCTCACGTCGGTCATTTATACACAATGGTGATTGCCGATATCATGAAACGGTGGCAGGTCCTGCTCGGGAACACAGATGCTCAACTACTGACCGGAACCGACGAACATGGAATGAAGGTACTACATAACTATGAAGTTGTAGGTCAATAATGGGCGTTAACACCAAGCACAGATTCAACAAGCTGCCATTCGAGCGGGCATGGATACCCAGGCATTTTGTGATATGAACTGCCGAACCTTTGAGGTGCGAGACCCCTTTTGCCATCTGCAAGACATTTCTAACTTGGTGTATTTGATATAGGCCCTAGCAAAGGCTGCAAACCTCGACAATGACCATTTTAGCAGGACCACAGACCCGGCGCATCGAGATGCCGTACAATATTTCTGGGTAGGCGACTACCTTCCGCTCATAGTAGAAAATGGCTGATCACGAAAAGGAAATGTTGCAACACCGGGGCTATATCTATACTTCAAAGCATGAAGGTTGGTATTCAGTCAGCGATGAGACATTCTACCCACAGACGCAAGTACAGAACTCCCTAGATCCATCAACAGGGAGGAAACGAATGGTACGTAATTTATCAATTCTCCAGCGAATACGGATACTCACCCACAAGCAGGTGTCAATAGAAACGGGTAAAGAGGTAGAGTGGTCCTCAGAGACTAATTACCACTTCCGTCTCTCAGCCTTCAAGGATCGTCTACTTGACCTGTACAAAAGAGAAGATCCGTTTATCACCCCTACCTCCTACACAGCTGCTGTGGTCAATGGAGTTGAGTCGGGACTGCAGGATCTCTCGATTTCTCGGCCCGTGGAACGTCTGACTTGGGGAATCCCTGTTCCTGGCGATGACACGCAGACAATCTACGTGTGGCTAGACGCGCTGGTTAACTACTTGACCAAAGCTGGATATCCTTTCCCACCTGGAAAAGAAAACACATCTATTTGGCCTGCAGACTTGCATGTAGTTGGCAAAGATATTGTTAGGTGAGTTGACGGTTTTTCCCGAGGGACCGCGTGCAAAGTTACTAATTTGGCAGATTCCATTGTGTTTATTGGCCTGCTTTCCTCATGGCACTTGATATTCCCCTGCCTCGGAACGTTCTGGTGCACGGACACTGGACAATGAATCGTGAAAAAATGTCCAAGTCCACAGGCAATGTTGTGAACCCGTTTTTCGCCATTGACCGGTTCGGAGTCGATGGCATGCGATTTTTCCTAGCGTATCGGGGTGGTCTTGCTGATGATGCGGACTTTGACAATTCTTTTATCACCCGAGATTATAAGAAAATGCTTCAGGGGGGCCTCGGAAACCTTGCTATGCGTACAATCGGATGTGCGCGTGGCAATTTGCGGTCGTACATTATGGACGCCGGATTGGATAAGCTTCCAGCTGCTACCCCTGAGGACTTGGAACATCAAGAAATGTTGGAGCAGACGCCTTCCCAGGTTGCCGAGCTTATGCAGGATCTGAACCCCCGTGCCGCTCTGCACGAAACTATGAGTATCATCGAAAAGGTAAGAGGTGATCATCCCCGCACGGGTTCGGCGAGTATTGACCTGTTTTTTTAGACTAACAAGTACTTCCATGCGGCGGAGCCGTGGAAAAACCCTAACCCTCAACGAGTCATCTACAATGTGGCGGAATCCTTGCGGATCGCTGGCATTTTATTGCAACCGTTCATGCCCGGCAAGTCTCATGACCTTCTAGAATTGCTCCGTGTAAATACCTTGGACCCCTCCAAGCGGGCATTCGCGGCCACAGCGTACGGTTCGGATAGAGATTACGGCGAGGGCGTTAAGAAAGGTGTTCTTTTCCCTCCTTTGCTAACTGAGGAGTGATGCGCCTGTTTTTGAGCTTTCGATTTGATAAGAGGAACTGACCGGCGCCCAATCATGCGCGACCGGGAGGCCCGTCTGAACAAAGATATGCATCTTCTCCGCTTAGATGCGCCAGAGTCGATGCGGTTTTTTTTTCCCGGGTCCTCCACATCTCGACAGCTGAGACGCCAGGTTTTCCACGCCCGGCCACTCTAATCCAAACACTATGTAACGGTATGTCATGACCGTCATGGTCGACCCACTGTGATTGGGGTTTCCCTCAAGGTTCTTGACGGGAAATACTGGGCCAGAACCGTGGACGCTGCGGTCAGTCCTATCAGGCGGGAAACTGGGGTTTCCCGTCGGGAAACCTTTGCCCTAGCCCTGGAGGCTCACTTTGTATATCAAAACATGTCTTAATATTTGCATACTGGAGTTTGGATATTTTAGTATCTATCGCTTTTCTTTTTCTTCCCGAAATCTCCCTATCTCTCTGTTTGGATGAATATACAACCTACTGCTGTGCAACCAGTCGACTCAGCAATTTACTATTTTGGGAACATCATTTGTATACTTCTGGTCTTGGAACTCCTCCGGTGAACAACGGAACCGGTTTTTTCTCTACGCTTTGTTCAACACATCAAAATGGGGAGCATCGAGATTTCTGCCTGCGATCAACTGCAGCTCAAAACACCATGGATTGAGACACCACTAGTCGAGTCTGCGTGCCTTTCTCGGGCAGCTGGATGTAGAATCTTCCTGAAGTTGGAAAACGTGCAACCAAGCGGCTCTTTCAAGTCCCGTGCTATGGGTAACCAGATCCTTTCTCACCTTCGCAACCCAGCAAACGTGGGCCGCAGAATTCACTTCTATGCCTCGTCCGGAGGGAACGCCGGACTAGCAGCTGTCTGTGCAGCCAGGAGCCTGGGCTATCCATGCACGGTCGTGGTGCCCATGGGTACTAAGCCATTGATGCTTGACAAAATCCGAGCGGCAGGCGCAGCGGATGTCATCCGTCATGGCGAGACATTCTCAGAAGCAGGAGAATACATGCGGGAAGCCATCATGAAAACAAGCAGCGGAGATGACCAGGATGTGATCAAGATTGCCCTCCATCCCTTCGACAACCAGCCCATCTGGGAAGGAAACAGCACCATCATCGACGAGCTCGAGACCCAGCTTCCTCCCGTCACCAACCCCGAAGACAAAAAAGCATACAATGACCGGGCCCTTCCTCTAGACGCTATCCTCTGCAGCGTCGGCGGCGGCGGTCTTCTCAACGGCCTTGTCATGGGCATCGAAAAGCGACGACAAAAGAAGCAAATTACCTCCTCTTCCTCCAAACCAAGCCCCATTCACCTCCTCGCCATTGAAACGGCTGGTACCGACTCCCTGGCAGCAGCCATAGCCAACAAATCCCTCGTCTCACTCCCAAAGATCACATCTCAGGCTACTTCTCTTGGCGCTGTCCGCGTCTCCGAAACAACCTTCCAGTACGCCATGTCTCCGCCCCCAGGCATCAGAGTGCACAGCACCGTACTATCAGATGCAGACGCAGCCCGCGGCGTGCTCCGCCTCGCCAACGACGAGCGACTTCTCGTTGAGCTTGCGTGCGGTGTCTGCATTGAGGCGGCCATCGGCGATGCTGCTACCGCTGTTCCTGCGTCAGTGACTGCCGGCGCAAGCGCTCAGAGCTTTAAAAAGCGCAAGAGGGACTTGGATGTGACTGAAATCACTTACCGCGATGAGGGCTATGGGGATGACCGGTCGACCTCGACCGATAATGACACGGACCAGGAACTTGAGCCGGAGGTCGAGAAGCTCAACTCGAAGCTCAAGCAACTTGTTCCTGATCTCAACTCCCAGAGTAGAATTGTCATCATTGTCTGCGGCGGTAGCTATGTCACTATCGATATGGCTTGTGAATGGCGCAAGATGTTGGATGAAGGATGGGCATGAATATTGATGATGATGGATATGTTTTGTTTTTCGATACCTTTCTTTGGCTTGACTTTTGGCGTTTGATTTGCGGCACTGTACTTGTTGGTTCGAGACTTCTTAATTACTGTCACCTAGATAAAGGCTTGAACTTTTGCATCGTTTATCCATACAATCATACAAAGTATACAGCGGTCCATTACTCCAAAATAGAGTATCATTTGGACGCAATAATTTTCAATGAAACGTCCGAGACAGTAGAACAAGGTTAGATCTGTCCGATAGACATTGTTCGGCACCACGCTTTTCTCGCCTTTCATGCGGCAGCGAGAGTCGCAATGCCCTTCCCCAAATCAGTCACACCCTGATCCAGCTTCCGAATACGATAATCCCAGTAATTCTTTCTGATAGGATCAAACTCCTCTTTAAGCATTGTCAACATCCGAATAGCCTCACTCTCCCTCCCAGCCTCGGCAAAGACGTCCGCCAACCACTCAACAGCGTGCGAACTCTTCACGGCCCCCTCCGAAACAAAACCACTAACAAACTCCTCCCAGTCCCCGAGCCCTCGCCCAGAAGCTCTCACCACACCGCGCGCATACCACCAAGGGCTCCGGTTCTCCGGCGCACGCAGGATAGCCTCCTGCGCAAACTTCAGCTCGTCATCAACCATGTCCTCGTCAACCACGGACAGTCTACCCTTCTCGGTCGGCGCTGTGGAAATATCGCCCGCATTCACCATGCCCGCGTCTGGGAGCGATGTGTCCCGCGGTCCGAAACGGAGCATGTATCGGTGGTTCCAGGCGGAATTGTTGCGCACATCAGCTTTCAGGAGGAACTCCACGTCTTCGAGTTCGCGTGGTTCGTCCCATAGCCCGAAGTGCCGCACAAGCCAGTGGCGGTAAGTCCATACATGGTAATTTTTGGAGTCTTGGGCAAACATCTCCATTAGGAAGTCTGCTTCTTTGGGTGGGAAAGTTGGGAAGTGCGCTTTTGATGATAGCAAGACTTGGCGGTGGTGCCTGTTTGATTGTTAGTTTCGTTTTAGTCTTTACTTGTTTTTCGTTTCCATGGCTTTCTGGCTGTGGTGGTTGCCGGGTGATAGTTGACATACCAAATCTGATAGTTTTTCAGATACTTCAATGAAACTTCGTTTAACCAGCTCAGTTCTTCATTCAGATCCTTCTCCAAAGCAAATAGAATCTTTGCTCGGTAGATCCTGTATCAAATGTCAGATATGCGATATGGCATGTCACGAGGAAGATGTTACTATCCACTCACCATACGGTGTAATGCGCTGGATTCATCGAGATTACATCTTTAGTCAATTCCAGTGCGCGCTCAGACATCTCATTTGTAGCCATCACGGCACGCAAGTACGAAGTAGCCTCGAGGTAATCGGCTGGGTAGGCGATGGTCGCCAGTGGCATGGCACCCTCACTCGAGCCATCGTCCAGGTCAATTGGGGTAACAGATGCCCACGCGGGGTCGGTGGAATACGTTCCCTCCATGATTTGTCGCAGATTGCAGTGAGAAGCTCAAGAGTGGAAGAATAATTATCGGGATGCAATCAAATGGTGGGGGTACAGGGGTCAGATACACAGGAGCCGGGCTGGGTCTCACGACTAGAGCTCTGCACTAAGTGATATTATGCAATCTCGAACAATCAAGCTGCCGAGAAGAGAATTGTCTAAATCAAAGATCGAACGCGAAATGCAGCGAATATAAAACATGAGGTGGAGGTGGGGCGGGAGTGTCGGCCTCAGGCGCACACAAAGAAACCGAACAATACTAAGGCAACCTGCTTCTCTTCTTATTCTTCTATTTATTTTTGGACTGACAGTTCATATTTCGAAGAGATTTATTTGCTTTTCTATTGGTAGTTCCATAATATTTTTTGCTCCTCAATCCACCATTTTCCCACTTTCTCCGCGTCTGCCAGCCATTTCCCGGCTTTGTCTCCATGCTTGCTTTGTACACGGCTGATCAACGCTTCGAGGGACCACCCGCGCAATGGACTCGACTCGTCAGGGTCGGTGTCTAGGTTAGAGAAAGTGTACTCAAAGTCCTCGGTGAGTGGCAGTATGAGACGATATGGGACAGCTGCAGACCCAATGCTGAGCATTGTACCACCGGGGTTGATAATACCGAAGTTCCACGCCTGTCGGCCATTGTGGGTTGCTTGGTACGGGCGCACCAGTGACTGTCCTTGATATTCATTCATCAGGTCTAAGGCCACATCGGAGTCCATTTCGTTCAAGGAACCTGAATTAACGAGCAGATCGAGAATGGTCGGGACGACGGACATCGAGGTAGCGTTTGCAGTGATTTGCAGTGCTGGCAATAGCGGGTGTCGGAAAAGGAGTGGAATGCGGAAATTGCTGATATGTCCATTCTCATATGTGCCCGAGACTGGCGCGTCTTCAGTAAACGCCTGGCCACTATTTGAGATTAGTACACGGTTATTCGGTTGTTGTGAGGAGTTGCTGTAGGTGCAACATACTGATCTCCCACAAATACGACTAATGTCTCGTTTGCAATCCCAGCTTCATCGAAGACCTTCATTATATCGCCAAGCCATCCGTCCACGAATCGGACCGTGTTGAGATATTTGTTCATGTCCCTGTGCGTTGCCATGATATCGTCTCCGGCGAAGTATTCCTCTTGTTGATATGTCGTGGGCATGCCCCATGGGTGATGGGTTGTGCTCGTTAAGTGGGACAGGAAAAGTCGTTCGTTCTTCTCGATTGTATTATTCACCACATCTCGCAGGTATGGGTATATCTCGTACTCCGGGTATCTAGGCGACATCCACAGGTGTTAGCAATGCGAGTGCCCATGGGCTAAGAGAGCGTCCAGTTGAGAGACTGGTATACTTACCCGAAGTAGTTAATCTCCTTCATGTTCTTGTGATAATACTTGGCACCATGCTTGCTGATATCTTCACGATAAATTGATTCTTGAAACCCCATCTTTTTGTTGAGCTTATATTGCTCGTCAAATTGTCCTGTGATGGACTGCAAGAACACGGAGCTCCAGTTTCGATCATGAATGTGCCCAAACCCATTACCAGGCTTATGACTCACTGTGTCCTGGGTCGAATTCTCCTTAAGTTGGTTGAACAATTCAAACACTTGCATGAGACACGGCTGATAATTCTGGAATTTGACCTCATCCATGGAGTTCACCGGAAGTGGGCCTGCACCACAGTAGTTCATAATTTCGCTTTTGAGTGATACACTGCTACCGGTGATGATACCATTGAAATTGATGCCGCCCATTCCTGGTTCTGTCAGACTCTTCCATCCGTCACTAGACGGGCTAGAAGTGTTGTCATTCGTCGAAAGTCCACTCGCCACCCCGGTCAGCTTCTCTGCGTTTGGTGACAAATGCGATAATTTGGCATTGATCTCTCGGAGTACTTCAGGATCTTGGGTATCGTAGGTTGATAGAATTTGCTCATGCAAATGTGAGCCTGCTTTAAAGGGAAATATGTCCTTCCGAGCGCTTTCCATCAATACAACCACGACATGTGTAATGGGAACTTTATGGTCCTTGAGAGCCTGGGCTACCGGCTCGAGCAGTTCACGGTCGAGGTTGGTGATTCGAAGAGGGTCATTCACGGGACTATAGATGTGATTTCGAGTCCCATTTCCATCAACAGTACCAAGACTTCCTTGATCGCTATCAGATTTCCCTTCGCTCCACCGCTCGAACCCTGGTGGTAAATTGCCGGACGCCCACGCAGGTCGAATATCGGTGGCGTTGGGGTCTGCCTTTCCCGGAGCCCAGCCCTTGAAGTGATCGTGTGGGCCTTCCCAGTATGACTCGCCGGTCAGGTCCGCAAGTGGAAACGATTGATCTCCAGTCTGATGTAGACCAGCAGGTCTCGAGCCCAAGGCCTGGAAAAAGCTAAATGGGATGGTTTCAGACATATGGTTATAAGGTACCTGGGGCCGAGTCAAGCGCAAAATTCCAATGACTATCGCGATGCACAATGTCGAAATCTGGGTGAGTCGTGCTGCCATCGACTTTCTTTGGGGTCCGGTAATGATGTCTCCATCCTTTTCGGTGTGCGCGCCAAACAGTGCAGACATCCAATTGTCGATGAGAATGCACATCCAATATCTGAGTAGCCATGATATCACAAGAAGGGCGCCCGCGGCTCCCAGAAACGATGTCAGCCCACTGAGCATCAGCTTCCTTCCTTCCGGTTCACTTCCCACGGTTGTGACTCCATCCCAGGGGATCTCACTGCCGGTAACAAAATAAAAACAAATTTGAGACGAGGCTAAGATGAAGCTCAGAGACCTGTGACAGTTAAAATCTTGGGACTGGCTCATGGACTCTAGTAGCAGACTGGAAGTACCCACGTGATGGCTACTGTCACTGCAGTGCCTAACAGGGCCTTCACGCCCGTGATTTTGAATAGCAACCCCCACGCGGTAATACACAGAAGAGTCTCAATGATGAAGAATGTCGGAAAGTAGAGCGCGAATTGAACCCCGGGAAGCGAAGAGACATGTTGAAACAGATGAAGGAGTTTGGATGATGTCACAGACACAATCAGTAGCGAGAAAATGAAGGGTCTGGTAAAGGACTGGCGTGTAATCATAATGAAGGAGAGTTGGGAAGACCAGAGTCCATTGCCTCGGAGTCAACAATATTGAAAAATTGAATTATAGGGGTAATTGGAATCGCAAAGAATGAGTACGGGGTTCAGAGTGTTGATCTTTGTTGTATCATAGTATGGAGCATGTAACCCATATGTACGGAGTATGCATAGATGTCTCGAATTTTAGGAGCACATTCCGAATCGGGTGCCGTACGGGTCTACTAGGCAAATATGCCGGGACAGGCATAAAACCCAGTATGATTAACGTACGTACGGAAATACATATAAAGATGATGTGGTGGAGTACGCAATTTCAATACAATCAATAATGTGAATGAATATCAAATGCAGGGTTTCGTTCAGGTTTCGTAAATGACGTCGTGTGGACCCTGACCTATTTCTGGAGATCGGACGCGGGCTATGTATCCCCTATGATCTCCCGATACATAAAATTGTTTTCAGCCTTTTTCCACCGTCGATGTTGTATTGAAAACCAAAAAGAAAATATATTCTTACATCAAGATATCTGAGTTATACCACTGAAAAGACCACTAAAGAGGTAGCGCAAGACTGCATAAGTGCCAACTATTCTTGTTTCTATCATTTCAAAGTAAGAATTCGGCATAGTTCAATATTGTACACTATGATGATATGTCCACTCGTGAGTATAAACATGCCCTGTGAGACTTCATCCGAATGTCTCCCCGCCATTGTTCAGGTATTCAATCTCCTCCGGGGTAGGCACTCTCCCCAGCGCCTGGTTCCGATGTGGGTATCGTCCGAACCGTTCAATGATCACTTTATGTCTTTTTTCAAATTCCAAAGTTTTGCTCAGGAACGCCTGGAGTGCCTCCGCCTTCTCTGATAGAACGCTTTGGCATTTTCTTTCATCTTCCGTAAGAGTCGATGCATCCCTGGCCAAAAGCTCATTTACATCTCTGGCTGTATCCTCGTGCACTTTGACAGCGTGCTCATGTACAGCCAAGTTTTCCGAATGCATGAGGGGCATGTGGAACCAAGTACGATAAGCCATGCGATACTTGACATACGGTGACTGAGTCGGGATACCTTCTTCGATTGCCCGAAGGGCGATCTCCTCGGCTAGCGGATCAAAGCGACCAAATACTAGCTTCGACTCGGCCCCCCGGTAGCAATTGCGGGGAATCTGATCAAGGAGAATAATGATGCTGAGCCAATCGATCGACGAGGACGGGCTACATGTAGAAAGGATCTGCGCAGCTGATGCTTCCGAACTGGCGATTGCTTCCAGGGCAGGGCCGAATCGGGTGCTATTTGAGCTCGTTAGTCTTCTATTTTGGCGTCGAAATACAACGTAAGGAGACAAATGGTCACCTACACGCATGCCTCGTCAAATGCCTCATCACGAGAGAACCATTTTCCCATCTCCCTCCATTCGGGAAGGATGAGTGACTCTTCGCAGCTTAGATGATCAAACCACAACTTGTGCACGTCATCAAGGAGGGCTGGTGTCAAAGTCTGCGTGAGTTCTGAGGAGCTTGTCATTGTGATGGGACTTGAATGGAACTTGCGAGAAATGATTTCTCCGCTGAAATTGTTCCGCAATTGAGGCCTTGCAATGTTATTTGTACGGAGGCTTGGGATTGATATCAAGCCGTTAGCTGGGATCGCCGCTGGCTTGAAAGTCGCAAGTCTCCTCTGAATAAGTCCCTTTGAGATAGCCTATACTAATCTTAGACTTCATCCAATGCCCATTTTGATATTTGCTTACCTTGCTGCGTATGAGATATGTCATAATCGAGCCCAGGTGTACAGCATAGAAATCAAATTACCAAGCACAAGCCCACTGGACTGGTAGCGGACCCCCGGGGGCCATAGCTGAGTCATGACTCATCATGCATACTTAACTACCCACGAAGGTCGGAGCAACAGAGGTTTGTCTTATTATACATTTGTGTTTATAACTTTCTAGATAATTGACATAGTCCTCTAGTACTCTGTATATAGTCATCAATTCGAAGACCGTTGCTCTCATTTCACTTGCCCAAATAGGCAAAAGAATCCCGTTTATCTCGATAAGGCCGATTCTTCACTCCCCGGTTTTTCCCCTCAGTCTATACTCCGCATCTTGAATGTCGTTGGATCCTTTCAGATTCATATGCTCGGTTTATAATGCGCCGTGTGAAGAAATCTAGAAATGGTTGCGGGAGATGCAAAAGTAAACGCGTTCGTGTTTCCCGTTTCCCGACCGGAAAATTGGATAACTAACATGCACAGGTGAAATGCGGCGAAGAGAAGCCTCACTGCGCTCGCTGTACCCGCTTAGGCGTCCGATGCCCTGGCTATGCACAATCTCTGCGCTGGGTTACCAAGTATGAGCAGTTGAGTCCAGCCGTACCGGCATCAGCCTCGGAGGTGAGAACCCCGAGTCCTGTGGCTTCTGCTTCGACTGCACCTAGCCAGCCGGCAAACCACATCGACGGTGCTTTGCCCGACGATTCAACCTTTGAGTCGACGCATGAATCAACTTCCGCAGATTTTGTGTTAAATGGGCGAACTCCTCTATGTGACAATTTATGGGATCATCCAGGCCATGGGTCTTTACCCGAACTGACAGATCTATGTTCACCTTCCCCGATAGCGGCGGCATCGTCGTCTTTCGTACACCAAAGAGACACTTTTCATAACTTTGAACAGTTAGAAGATGCCGGTTTAGATCTGTCACACTTCCTGTCACTTATCGGACCAACTCCAAGTGAGGAACAGGCTGGCAATGTTTACCGAGACTTCTCACCTTCGGCCATTGTGCGGAGTTATCCTCCTGTATCGCATCAGCCTGTACCTCATGACTTCATGTCAATTTCTCGTCCACTGAATAATCCATCTTGGACCTTGATTGAGTACTATTTCAAAGAAGTGGCAGCACTGTTCTCTAGCTACGATAGCCAGATGAACCCATTCCGAACCACGGTATCTCGTCTTTGGGGATCTTCGTTAGCAATGTGCCGAACAATGCAAAGCATGGCTGCTGCAACGCTGGTCACAGAATTTCCCCAGTTCGGTCCCATGGGCCGAAGAATGCGTGATGAGGCTATTGATATAATCACGCGCGAAGCCGTAATAGACGACAAGTCATTGTTAGCGCTACTAATGCTGGGACAGACGGCTAGCTGGCATGACCCAAAAGACTTGGGTATATCATTTTTCAACCTGCTCCGCAAGCAACTCAATACCATCACTTCATCGTCGCGCGACCAGGGCTTTGGCTTCCATAAGAACGACAGCAACAACTACCGGTTCTTCGAAGAGGCTCTCATTTACTGGGAGATGCTGCTTTCTTTCGTCGCAGATAATGACACCATGGTCCTATCTGACAATGCACGAACCGCTTCATCCACGGGCGAGTCCTTCGTTCTACAGCGAGTCCCACACCCGTGGACCGGCATCGCACGCGACACCCAATTTACCGTGCACGAGGTCGGACAACTCATTCGCCGTGAGCGAAAACGCATTCACTCAAGGCGATTTACCTCCCAGGATGATATCACCCAATCACAGTCGGCAATCCAAAAAGCTTGCGAACTAGAAGAACGCCTTTTAGATCTCGCCCATCCCTCCGAAGCCGAGATCGTCAGTCCTGGTGACGACGATACCCCAGTATGGCACCTTCTCACAATGGCCGAAGCGTATCGATGCGTCGGCCTCATGCAACTATACCGCGTCTTCCCGGATCTACTGCACAACCGCCTGCCTACTCCAACTTCCACATCATCCCAATACCCTGACAACACCCATCCAGCATCCCGCGACTCATTCTTCCCAATCGACCTCGACAGCATGAACCTGCCGACTGGATTTGACGACCCCAATCCAGCAGCAGGACAAAACACCAATCCTCGACACACCGCCCCCTCGCCATCTACAAGATCTTCCCCTCACAATCTCTACCGCCATTCCCCTCACCATCTATCATCACCACCATCACCAGATACGCAACAAACTCTCACCCCAGAAACCCTGTATAGCAACTGGCTCACCGAATTCACCGTGACAACCCTCTCCCGACTCAAAACCATACCCCTGGAATCACGCACCCGCTGCCTCCAGCCATTCCTCCTGGTAGCATCCTGCTCAGAGCTCCGTCTCCCGCGTCTGGCCACAAACGCCGGCACTCAACCTGGGAATGGCGAGGATCACCCAGAGGGCGGTAACAATGATACTACCAACGATAGTGCCAACCCAAATCAACCACCTACCATCTCAATGGAAGCCATCGAAGTCTCGCGCACGCGCAAGTTTATCCTTGGCCGTCTAACCTCCTTCTTGCATGTTTTGCCGCCAAAGCCGATCCATGTATGCTTGAAATTGGTCAATGAGGTCTGGAGGAGGCTGGATGCGGGCGATAATGACACTTATTGGGTTGATGTTATGATTGAAAAAGGCTGGGAGACAACTATGGGGTGAGATAGTTCCAAGTTGGGTTTCTCCCAGTTTAATGTCACGGTATAATTTTCCATATCCATACCTAGTAGTTGTTGGTTCCAATTATGACGACGCGTCCGACTTTAGAATAACTATTATATTTGTAAATTTCGCATGCCCCTTATAAGCAGTGGCAGCCGATTATGGATTGAAGGTAAAGAGGAAGGCAGAGATATCCTTGCATCAAAATGTCATTTAGATCGAGGTTGTATCTTGTAGAGAAAGAGACAAGAAGCAGCCTGAAATCAAAGAACTAATAATCATAAAACTCAAAGCCCACAGAAGTACTGAACTAAAACAAGACTCCCCATATACTAATATTTCAGCAGTTGTTTTCATGTTTTCATGATTTCATGCTTCCCGATGTCAAGTATACAAACTGGCAAACACACAGAAGATTCAAAGAAACAAACTACTTGCTACCACTGCCCCGGGTGTATCCATCCCACCACTGCGAGAACATGCCACCCTTGGCAGCCTGCTCATTCCAGCTCGCGCGGCGATTGGCCATATCCGGATTCGTGGATTCACGCTTCTGCGTGTGTAGATTCGAGAAGAGACCGTTGGTAGAGCCGGCAGAGCTGCGGCGGCGCTCACCTAGGCCTGGAGGGTTTGCCGCGGTGCCTTCGGATGCTTTATTCCCGTTCGAGGAGGTAGAGGTGTTGGAGTCCTTCATCTTGTTAGAATGATTCTGGGGGACGTGGTGTAGATATTAGAAGGATAGGCGGATGAATGGATAGAAGAAGGGTAATGATGCAGTGATGTAGTGCTAAGGGTATTATGGGAATGATATATAAGAGGAATCGAAAGAGGCAAATGACATACCCTTCTACTATCCGTACCAGGCATCGCCCATGCAGCACGACCACTGGGGCTCTTGGCACCGCCTTGCATCCAGACATTGGTATGCTCGTGACGGTCACCGAAGCTTCCGTGCCAGTGGCGGGGGGTATTGTTTTCAGACATTTTGGAAATGTCTAGGAAGTCAGAGTAATCCGTGATGAAGGTGTGATCTAGTTTTCTTGAGGGGGTTTTAGTAAGAGTGAGAGTGGAATTCTAGAGAGGATGTGATTATGAGATATGCTTTTAAGGGTTGGGAGTCGACGACGTCATTCTTGTTTGCTCTTTATAGATATGCAAATGAGAAAAAGAATGGATCATACCTCGATGTTCTCCGATATTTGAATATTTGGATGAATCGAGAAGAAATGAACAAGAGGTGAAGAGGGGGCAAGGCTTTATAAGAACATCTTACTACGTTACATGGTAAATCACAGACCTACATCTAGATAGGTCCATTAATTCAGTACTTTTTAGGTACTTGTCAGTACTTACATATACATGTATCATACATGGTAAGGTAAGTACTACAGATGTACTATAAAGTACTCAGCCTTGACGTAATTAAAATGCGGGGGGAAGCTATATAACTTGAAGAGATCAAAAGTCCAAGGGAAGAGGATAGCTATGTTATAGACATGTCAGTGTCTACATAGCTCGATAACACTCACCTTCCGGCTTCCCTCAACACCTTCCAAACCCTAATACCCTCCTCCCAATTTCTATCCTCCACAATGTCAACACTCCCATCCCCCGTCAGTGTCCTAACCAACCTAGCCCCAGAAGTCCCCCATCCAAACTCCTCTTCCCTATGGACAAATCTTCCTAACGGACTAATGAACCCCTCTTTCACAACTCTCATCTCCTTCTCATCCAACAATCCTCCGTTGCCAAAGAACCAAATCGGATAATCAGATGAATGCGTAACTCCCCACTCAACTGGCAAAGTCGCCTCCACACACTTGGCTCTCCACTCAATCCGATATCGAAACAACAATGCCGAAGCATCAATGCCATCCTCATTTTCCGTCAATGCATACACAAACCCACGCTGCATTTGATGAACCTGCATATCAGCATAGATCCTCCCCCACGCATCCTGGTCCCAGTCCTTGCATTCCGCCGGTAAACGGCCGTCCGGGTAATAAAACGGTATGATAGCGTCAACGATGTGTCCTGGGTAATCTGCAACGAGACGGGTGCGTAGCGCCGAGAGAGTGTTGTCTGTCGGTGGGAACCATGCGCTGTAGAGGAAGCGCTCGTCGCAACATTCACCTACTATGATGCGGATCTTGCGGGCGAGGATGCTGCGGGCGAAAGCGCCACTGTCCAGGGTTGTAAAGAGGGATGGGGAGACGAAGGATGTGTCTGTAGTTGGGCGGAATTGATGCAGGGGGATTGTTCTTGCTTTGTCGAGGAGGACTTTTGCAGGAATTGAGCGTAACCGGGTGAGTTTGTCGTTATGGCTCAGGGTGAGGGAGATATCCAGGGAGGTTAGGAGTTGGTCGAATTGGGCTTGTGTTTCGGTTGGCTGCTTAGGCTGGACGGCTGGGCTGTTTGACCAGATGCAGGCTTGACGGATGAGGGATTTTTCATCTGGTTGGCGGAGGTCGTAGGCTAGTTGATGGAAGACGGAGTTGGCGCCTGCAGAATATCCTGAGATTGTGATGGCTTCCGGATTGCCACCAAATAGCTGGATATTCTCCTTTGTCCACTCCAGTGCTAGTCTCTGGTCCCAGAACCCATGGTTCCCAACTGTCTCTCCGACGGTGGCTGCATCCTCCTCCAGTTCTGCTGAGTAGAGGAATCCGAAAAGGTTGACTCGGTACGCAGGCATCACAATCACGCCGTTGAAATTAGCCTCGCCAATCAATGCCGCCGCGTTGAATGAATTGGGCGTGCCAAATTGAAGCCATCCGCCATCTGCCCCGAACAGTAACTGTTAGTATGGTTTGTATACAACTATGTCGCTCCATCCCACGTTGAACACCATATATCCCAGTATCAACAGACACTACTCACGAATATAAACCAAAACAGGCCATCCTCCCTCAGGCACCTCCCCAATAGGCGTCCAAACATTACATTGAAAACAATCCTCATTCCACGCATCCGGGTTCTCAGGTGTGTGTCGAAAGCCTGGCTGGGGACAAAGCCCTGCGCCCCCGTCACAGCGACCCGGTGCTTCTTCGCTGCCATAGGTGAAAGACGCAGGCAAGAGCTGGGCGCGGCGCCAGCGCTCAGTGGGGGCAAGGCCGTAGCGGACGCCGCCAAAGTAATGGCAGAGGTCTTTGGCTTGGCTGGTGGGAGAAGACAATGTTGAGATCGTTACGCCTTGGATTGTGCCGCGGTGGGCGAGGGATTTAACATGAATGCGGTGGATTGTTTCCATCTCTGTGGTTTCTGTTCTGTTGATAGTTGATTTAGGGCTATATAATATAGATCCCAGTTGACACAGGCGGAAATAAGACTCTGTTCTGAAGTGGTCTTGGAGTATGCCGTAGTGAAATAGAGCAGTTTAGCCTGGGGATCACGCCCTTTAAGATAGTATCGGCCTTCATTCCGCAGTTTCCAGACGCCTAGCCGAGATGACGAGGCGATTGGGTTTCATTGGTGAGAGACGAAGGAGCCGGCAATTCGCCATTCACCATTGGTCATTGGCAGTTGGAGAAGGAGAGATTGCCTTGTGGGGAACGGCAGAAGTCCGCTCGGGGCCAGACTTGGGTCCGAACTACTTGGTTTGTGAGGAACTATAGAGACGAGGGAGGACTAAAATGGTTCGACCTCAAAGATCACTGTAAGAGAATACTATTTGATTCCGAATAAGCTAGAACAGCAAATTGCCAAAATCCAGAGTCGAAACTCGACGAAACATAAAGTAAAAAACGCTGAGAAATCATTCAAATCACATCACGCATCACAAATCGTGCATGGTTCAGTAGTACAGAGTAGGTATGCTTTTACGCCTTGCTGATCCTGCAGATCAAGTCCTGGCCATCGACGGAATCGCCCTCCTTGACCTGGAGGCCAGACACCTTTCCGCTGTGTGGGGCGGAGATCACCATTTCCTAGATAGAGAGTTAGCGACGTATTCATATATGTGAAACAAGAAATGAAAACATACCATCTTCATGGCGCTCAGCACCGCAATGGGATCACCCTTCAAGACCTCGTGGCCATCGTGGATGCGGATCTCAACCACGACACCACTCATGGGAGCGCCGACCTGGCTACTGTCTGTAGGCTCGGCCTTGGGGCGGGCGCGGTTCTCAATCGAAGCCTTCTGGTCATCGACACTGACCTGGCGGACTTCACCGTTGACCTCGTAGAAGACCTCGCGTTGGCCAGTCTGCTCGGAGAGAGGACCGATGGCAAGCAACTTCAGGATCAGGACCTTACCCTGCTCCAGCTCGACGTGGAACTCCTCACCGATCTCGGGGCGGGCAAGGAAGTAGCGCGTCGGCAGGACAGACAGATCACCGAACTTTGTCACGAACTTGCGGTACTCCTCGAACACCTTGGGGTACATGGCATAACTGGCAACGTCACACTCAGTGGCGGCACCGAACTTCTCGCGGATCTCGTTCTTGATCTTGACGAGATCCATGGGCTCCAGGTAGAGACCGGGACGCTTATCGAGCTTGCGACGGCCGCGCAAGGCCTTGGTACGCAGAGGCTCGGGGAAGCCGCCGTAGGGCTGGCCCATCAGACCCTCGAAGAACTCCAAGACTGATCCAGGGAAGTCGAGTTGATCAGCACGGTCCAGCACATCCTGGGCGGACAGCTTGTTGCTGACAATCCAGGAGGCGAAGTCACCACAGACCTTGGAGGAGGGGGTGACCTTGACGATGTCGCCCAGCAACTCGTTGGCCACCTCGTACGCCTTCTTGGTCTCAGCCCACTGCTGTCCAAGACCCAACTGGCTGGCCTGGAAGATCAGGTTGGTCAGCTGACCACCGGGGATCTCGTGCTCGTAAACCTCGGGGTCGGGGCCAGTCAGACCAGCCTCGAAGGGAGAGTAGAGCAGACGAAGCTGAGCCCAGTAGCTGTCGAGAGCGCGGACCTGGGACAGGTCCAGCTTGGGGTCGTGCTCGGTGCCCTGCAGTGAAGAAAGGAGAGCACCAATGCTGGGCTGCGAGGTCATACCAGACAGACTGTCGGTAGCGGCATCCACAGCATCGGCACCGGCCTCGGCACAGGCAATCATAGAGGCGACACCGGTTCCGGCGGAATCGTGAGTGTGAACGTGGATGGGGAGATCGGGGTAGCGCTCGCGGATGGCACCGACCAGCAAACGGGCAGCCTGGGGCTTGAGCACACCAGCCATATCCTTGATTCCAAGAACATGGGGACGCATCTTGACGATCTTGTCCACTAGACCCAAGTAGTACTCCAAGCTGTACTTCTTCTTGGGGTTCAGCATGTCACCACTGTAACACATGGTGGCCTCAACGACACCACCGGCTTCGTGGACGGCCTTGATACCGACCTCGAGCTGGTCAAGATCGTTCAGGGCATCGAAGACACGGAAGATATCGACACCGTACTTCTTGGCCTGCTTACAGAAGTGGTAGATGGCGTTATCGGGAAGGGAGGAGTAGGCAACACCGTTGGCGCCACGCAGCAGCATCTGGAAGGGGGATATTGGGGACGGCCTTGCGCATCTTGCGAAGTCTGTCCCAAGGATCCTCGTAGAGGAAGCGCATAGCCACATCGAAGGTGGCTCCACCCCAGCACTCGAGGGAGTAAGCGTTGCTCAATGCATGACTGGTCTCAGCGGCGATGTTGAGCATATCAATGGTTCGCACACGGGTTGCAAGCAACGACTGGTGGGCATCACGCCAGGTGGTGTCCATGATCAAGCAGCCCTTGTTAGCGCGCACAGCGCGAGCGAAGCCCTCAGGGCCTTCACTGTCCAGGATCTGCTTCCAGCCCTTAGTGCAAGGTACGGATACATCAATGGGCTTGCCCGCAGCATCATGGAGAACGGGCTTGATGATATCACCCTTGAACTTGGGCTCACCGATCTGGCCCTTGATGCTGCTGCCGTTGACAGCAACGTCACCCAAGTAAGCAAGCAGCTTCTGAGCACGGTTCTGGCTGCCAACGAGGGCAAACAGCTCGGGGGTGTCATCAATGAATGTAGTCCAGCAAGTACCATCGATGAATACGGGGTGGCTCAGGAGCGAAGCCAGGAAGGGAATGTTGGTCTTGACACCGCGGATACGGAACTCAACCAGAGCACGCAGCATCTTACGGCGGACGATCTCGTAGGTCGAGCCACGGCAAGTGCACTTGACCAGCATAGAGTCGTAGTGAGGAGAGATAATGGCACCAGCAAAGCCGTTACCACCATCCAGACGGACACCATTGCCACCAGCAGAGCGGTAGACCTCGATCTTACCAGTGTCGGGGGAGAATCCCTTGGCGGGATCCTCGGTAGTGATACGGCACTGAATGGCGAAACCGCGAGTAGAGATGCGGTCCTGGGTAAGGCCAAGTTGTTCAAGGGTTGCACCAGCAGCGATCTGGATCTGCGCGGCCACAATATCGATACCGGTGATTTCCTCGGTAATGGTGTGCTCGACTTGAATTCTAGGGTTGATCTCGATGAAGTAGTGCTCATTGCCGCAGACAAGGAACTCAGCAGTACCAGCGTTGCGGTACCGAACTGACTTGGCCAGCTTGACGGCATCAGACAAGATCTTATCACGAACATCGGTGGGAAGGTCCTTGGCAGGAGCAATCTCAACGACCTTCTGGTGGCGACGCTGGACGGAGCAATCACGCTCGAAGAGGTGGACAACATTGCCCTGGTTATCACCAAGAAGCTGAACCTCGATGTGCTTGGGCTGGTCAAGGAAACGCTCGACGAAGACGGTACCGTTACCGAAGGCGGTGCGGGCCTCGGAGGTAGCACGCTCGAAAGAGTCACGCAAGTCGGCCTGGGAACGGACAACACGCATTCCACGGCCACCACCGCCAAAGGCAGCCTTAATGATGATGGGGAAACCAAATTCATCAGTGAAGGACTTGACCTCTTCGAAACGCTCGACGGGGCCGGGGGTTCCAGGGACGACGGGGACATTGCACTTGATAGCGGCGCGACGGGCGGAAACCTTATCACCCAGGGCATCGATAGTTTCAGGGGTGGGGCCCACGAACACAATGCCAGCCTTCTCGACGTTCCGGGCGAACTCGGCGTTCTCTGAAAGGAAACCATAACCGGGGTGAATCAGGTGGACGCCGTGCTCGAGGGCGATCTTGATGATCTCATCACCAGCCAAATAAGCACCCACGGGAGTATATTGACCCCGGTGACCGATCATGTAAGCCTCATCGGCCTTTTGGCGATGCATGGAGAGACGATCTTCATGTGAAAAGACAGCGACCGTCTGGAGAGACAGTTCATGTGCGGTACGGAAGATACGGATGGGAATTTCACCACGGTTGGCAACTAGAATCTTTTGGAAGTGCATGATGGTCGAGTTGGCCCGCAGACGGCGGTGGACTGAGTCCTGGTGGTGCTCATTGTGATCCTCGATGAAGTCAGACTCATCAATGGCCTGCTCCGGCTGGCGGTGCGGGGCAGCAGCCATAGTGTAGATATGTGAGTTGGGGGAGGTTAGGATTTGTTTACTGAAGAAGAATTGAAATTAGTTGGAAGTTCCCGAGGTCCAGGTGAAAGGTAGAGGCGGTGACTCACTATAACCTAAGCTGTGGGAGCTATCCGGATCCAATTTCAGGCCGGTTTCGGCGGATCACAGCACAATTGCACGCACTGGTCTTCGGTATAAGCAACACAGGGTATATAGTCAAGATTGAATGGAATTGAGGTGTAAGATGAAATGGGAAGACAAAGAAAAAAAGAAGAAGAGTTGAGTTTCTGGGGAGGGGAGGAGGGGGGTTTAGATAAAGAGGGGATCACAAGATCTACATGTCACAGATACTTTCCGGGGTGGGAGGATTGACTCGGGGAATGAGGTAACAGGTACTTACAGGTTCACCGGTACACCGGAGCCACCTAGAAAAAGGGAAAATGATCAAATCGAATAGAATAATAGAAGAATCGAAAAATAAAAAGAAAAATAATCAAATATTCCTAAATGATAAAAGAAATAATGTAATTTGTTAAAGAGTTGCGGGGCTTTCCCTGTGGTGTCATCATCCCCATATACCCAAGGGACTCGAGCTACATACCTCCCCTATTATTCCCATTTCTACCCCGGACGAGAAAGCCTCGTCTCGCACGATAACTTTTCTTGACCTCGCACGATAACATTCGGGTGGTTTAGGCAACTAAGTCCGTTGATCTACCTCGGGCCATCGGCAACATGAACATCCCAACATTGAAGCCATATAACTACACGGATATTCGCGGAAAACTAGAAG